ATGGATTTTATTATGAGTGTGTTGTGTTTGGGGTTACAAGTCATTTTCCATATGACCATTGTAGATCACTGACGTGCCAAGCAGATTCGATATCCCTATCTTCACAGAGGAGTTCCTGGATCAGAACAAAGGTAATCCATGAACAGAAGAAAAAGCAGTGGTATTTTCTATTTTGAGGCATTGATAATTGAAAGGAAAATAATAAAAATTAACTTTTGATTATGATGCAGAAACTGAAGGTCTGCTGTCATGACCTTTTTGAGATTATCACTTGCACTACTGCTTGTCTTTTCTTTGTTTTTAAGCCACTTTTTTATCCAGAATGTTCAGTAGAAAATATTGTGCAATATTATTCTATTTATCCGCTTCCACAAAAGACTGTAAAGTTGGCATAAGGTTTCAAGTTAAAAAGTGTACTAGTTGTCGAGATTAAATTAATTTTTACGACTTGTCCTGCGAGCCTTCCTGGTCTTCCGTGTTATACCTATTTGACATAATACTAAAGGGAACACTCCAAGTCATGATCTCCAAGTCTCAATCTACTTTTATATAAATGTCCTTAAAGCAAGGGAGGCCGAGCTGAGACGGCTTCGTAAGGCTAACATTGAGTTTGAGGAGCAGAACGCAGTGCTGCAGCGACACATAAAGGACATGTACAACGCCAAGGAGCGCCTGGAGGCTGAGCTGGGAAAGGACGAGAAGCGCACGCAGGCCCTTCAGCAACATTTACTGGCCATCAAACACACACTAGTGAACAGTCTGTCATCAATACCTTTGCCAGGTTAGTTCTCATTCGGTTGTATTTTGACTCTTTGATCGTAAAATTCTCGAAAGCTAAAGTGAATGCAGTGTTTCCCAAACAGTACCAAATATTGTCAAAGAAATTGTTTTTAAGGTTGAATCTCCAAACAATTAGATTTGTTTTTTTAAGATGTGTGAATGGATTGGATTGGGTTGGATTGTCTTTTGTTGTGGGCTTTGTTTTTAACAGGCACAGGAGAAACAGCTTCTCTCGGGAACCTGGATTCATACCTGGGTCGCCTCAGTGGAGCGATAGAAGGAAACCCACAGAAGCACCGTGTTCTCCTCACCCAGCTCAGAGAAGTATTTTCTCATATAGACAGGTAACTAAGACACCGAACTTGACTATGACTATGATACATAAAATCAATACCATATACTCACGTCAATGTTTGGAAAATTATATTGCTGGATTTTATAATAATTTGTGATTTGATGATACGTTTTCTATGTCATTATATATTTTTTATTTCAAAATATCAGGCAGGTTTATTTACAAGTCTTTGTCAGTTGTAACTGTGAACATCTTGATCATACTACAGTATATATATTTTTAAATATGTCAGATTTTTTTGTAACCGTTAAAAATGTTTTCTCTTTTGCATGTGCATGTCAGTGAGAAGTTGTGAGACCTGAGAGAAGTTTTGAGGACATTCCTACACAGAGCCCTTCATTCCCGCTTCACAGAGATGTAAGGTCAACAGAACTGGTTACAATTCCACTTATAGACTATCTCAGAAAAGATAGTAACGGCAATAGTACAATGACAAACACTAGACAAGACCACTCACGGAACACATTCTCATTTCTTGATTATGTATGAGTGTTATCATGCTGGGTATTTTGTTTAAGTCAGTGTGAATCAGTGTGGCGGTGTTTTTACTCTATGAATTTGATTTCGTCTAAAATATTTCTTACATATCAAATCCCATTAGTAAGTTTGAATGGACAATATGTGGCTCTGTATTAAAAAAATACCTGCTGGACTTTGACTTGTAAAAACGCACCAGACTATCACTCACCTTGCGTTCAGTGCCAGTTTGGCCTGTACTACGTGAGTGTGCTAAACTGGAAGGGAGTAGAGAAATCATTTTTAAAGTGTACATACGATACATGTGTGAATTTACATTCATATTTACATTCACGATGTTGTGGGATCAATTGGCATTTTATCATTTGTTTATTGTCTGTCTGTCAGGAACGGGTCTCTCCTGAGAATATGACCTCGTGTCTAAGCGAGACTACCTGTAAAAATAAAGGATAATTGGAAATGAAATTTGACAGAATATTATATATGTTTGTGAAGTATACTTGTATTTTCTTAATGTCCATTACACCATTGTTTTAAACAAGGTATTTGTGTGTAGCACTGCTAAACTACAAACAACAAATGAAGAATTTGTTAACTTTGTTCACTTCATTGTCACGTTTTTGACCTCAGATTCGTCTCAGAACCTTTTGACTTACTTTTGAATATGTACAAATAGTTGCACACATACACTTAATAAATGTGTACCTTATGAATGTGTTAAATTGAAATTTTGACATAAACGGTAGATAAAAGCTATATACATTAGCATATCATCCTTACTCTAAAATTAATTAAGATGGGTTTAGCAATTGCGAAAAAGAGATCGGTTCTCTTAAAATGTACCTTTTTTACAAAAAAGAAATGAATGTATGAAATGTTCTATCGTATCATTATATCATCTGCTCTCATGATACAGTATATTGTAAGTGAAATGTTTTTTTTCTCCGTTGTTTTGGACTGCACCACATGTTGTACACCAGCAGAGGGAGATGTTGTCTCGCAGCACAGAACGTTTTAAACCAGAGTTTTTCTCAAATTGCAGAAGAAGTTGATTGACTTTATGAGGAAACCGAACGTCCCCAGATCCAGGCTGATATTAACACGCTGTAACAATGTATCTTTTAAGTCTCAACACTTTAACGACAACTTGACACAGTCACATGTGTTGGTAAAACTGGCTGCAATTCAGTCCCAATCAGAATCTCAGTGCCAGTCAGTCAGTCTTTCTTTGTCAGTATTTTTTTATTGTCATAAAACAGATCTGATTTCACTAACTCGTGACGAATTTTCTTTTTGTTTTAAAAAGGTGTACTGTTAGAACACCAAATAATTATTTTCAAGACTTATTTGTATTTGATATATATGTATTTTGAAATTGCAGAGGGAGGGCTTAATAATCAGATGTTTAAAGATCTACGCCTCCTCCAACACACCACGCTGCCACTTCCCTGACGTCACCGCCAGGAACTGTCCACGCGGCGATGGTGCTGAAACTGATAAAGATGGCTGTGTGGTGGGGAGCGAACAGCTCAGAGAGAAGGCGGTAGCCCAGAAGGATGCCAGATTTAGAGAGACGACGTTAACGAAAGACGAACAGTGACTGCCAGGCTCTACAGGCGCGGAGGTCTGTGTCTGATCGGTGTGACGACGGCAGACTTCTCCTTCTCCATCACTCTCGCTTTACACATCGCCTTGAACGCCGTGAGACTGCATAAGAAAACCTGTGATAGAGCTGGACACTGTACTCGAGGCGACTTCAAGAAATGTCATTGCTGTGTGTTGGAGGTAAGAAAACTGTGGAATAACGACAGCGATTCTTCCAGCGGTATCGATATAAGAGCCATTTTAACGGCTACGCCTTTGGTTAGAAAAAAAGCCCAACACAAACACGTGTGTGTGTGTGTATATATGCATATATATATATATATATATATATACGTATAACTTAATACAAACAACAATATTTATGAGCCAAACGCCCTTTTTTACTAAGATTTTGATTGATTTTCAGGGTAAAATATTCCCCCCCTGTTGTCAGCCATGACATCCGGGCTTTATTTCGTCAAACTGGTGGTCGATTCATAGATTCATGCACACTGGAAGTCGCTGTCAAATATAGAAATATACAATCTTTTTTCTTTCTTTCTTTCCTTCTTTCTTTCTTTCCTTTTTTTCTCTTTCTCTCATTCTTCTTTCTTTTTGTTTGTTTGATTGTCCTTATGATTTTTGTGTTTTTAATATTGAAAAATATCATTGCTGTCTTTTATACGTTGATTTCAGTCCAAGCGGCAAACCACATTTCTTCACACCACCTCAGTGCAGTGTTCTTTAACAACGTATTCTCTATGGTTTTGTCATGTTACTGAAGGTTCTGGTACTGAAGAGACATTGTTAATAAGTAAAAGAAATTCAAATTTGCTCACAATTTGAGACAATGTCTTTGTAAGTTAAAAAGAGTAAAACTGAAAAACTGTTTTGTTTCCTTTTAGTTGAAAGGCTGTTGCTGTTGGTTGACATGTCAAGAGGAGAGCTGGCATGTTCTTGTATTTTTATAAATGTTACCTCTTACCTCAACAATGTCTGTCCAGCTATACATCAAAATGCTTTATTTTAAATCATTTCACATCATCAGTGGAAAGGAATATTTGTGGAGAATTTTGTTTCGATTTCGTTAGGTCACCTGTCACTCATGTTTGCATTATTTTCATATATTTTCACCTTGTTTTAAAGACCACGTATATTGTTAACGACCAGGATGTCGCTGTATGTTAACACCAGCGATACAGCTGATTGCACAGATGTCAGGATCGAGATTCAGGCTCAGCATGACCCCCTTTATGTCCCCAAGCTTCGTTGGCATAGCAACCAAAGTGGTATTTTAGTGCTGCTGCTATTTTGTCATTAGCTGCTACACGTTCACTCAGATGCAAACCCACCGGGAGGTTTATTTGGATGGTCTGCATTTCATTACATTAATATTGCTGTGAGCAGACTGATTTAATAAAGTGGAGACTGCAGGTGTTCATCTTGGGCTGCACGACAAACCGACAAAGCAGTGATGTGACGTTGCTTTTCTGTGTCTTACCCGCTCGTGTTCATGTACAGCTTTGAACATTTGAACCACAGAAATCTCTTACAGGCATTTAAGATCATGTGGAAGATGACAGAGGAAGGAGGTTTATTGTTTTTTGTTCAAAGTATTAATTGAATTCCAGACTGTAGTTTTCTTCTTGTCCTATTTTAAACAAAAACTGCACATAAGTTGTAATCTTCTGTTTTACTGGAATTGAATTTGTAGCTGTGGGTTATTGAGATATACTTGATCAACACTGTAGATCACGACTACTTGATCTCCAACATTATGATTCAGACTGTTTTGTATGAAACGGTCAGTTTTAAGGTTACGTTAAAGCATGATCTCACATAGTCGTACATGTCCCCCGTCCTGATCAGGTTTGACTCAAATACAAAATCCAATTTGGATTCAGTAACAACAAGGATAATTCTAATCACTGAAATGGGAGCTAGTTGTGTATGTTGCCTGGTTAATAAAATACTAAATAGTAAAGGCTCCACCTAGGGTATCCTGTTGGTACTATCTGGCATGTCTGAAAGATGTTGGTTGCTAAGCACTTATTTATATCTCCACTCTAATCGCTGTTTGAAATAGCCTTGACAAAGCCGACTGTCTCAATGTCCATATGCTTTTCTGCTTTTACCGTAATCAGGTTTTGGCAGCCAAAAGAAATTTCAATAAATAGAAAAATACTATTAACCGCTTAGATTAAAGAATGTAAAAAAAAAAGCAAATCCTGTATTTGCTGTGGAATGGTTATAATTATTCATATTATTCATGGCTTTGCAAAAAAGAAAAAAACACCTACTCCTTTTCCCTCTTCGCTGTCATTACAGAAATGTTGGTTTAGTCTTACTCTGTGAGCTGTAAGTCCTCCCTGCTCCTCTCCCTTCTCCAAACACCCCTTTCTCTCCCCACCCCTGTCACACTGGAGTGGTTATTTTTAGTGTTGGGGATGCAGCTCACTGTGTCTGCACCCAGCTACACAGAGAGATTAATGGAGCACAAGAAAACGAGATAAAAAGGAAGCACACGTGCATACTTGCCACATGGCTGGGGAAGCTCGTAGGAGCGACTGATTGAGAGATTGAAAGGAGACAGACGATTGGCTGATTGTGGGGGAAAGGACAGTGTTTAAAATCAAGGCAGATTGTGAAGCCAGGCTGCATCTGTCATCGACTGTTTGGAGGCGAAAAGAGAAGCCCGGTTCTCCGGTGTGAATTCTGTGAAGGCAGGGGAATGAATCCGGTGTAGTCACGACCTCATCAACTTCAATAAAGGGAACAGAGCATTACTATGAATTTGACTCAAAAGTACACAACCAATCTGCAACACCTGCGTACATGTGTGGTAAATGTAAGGTTTATTGCACCTGTGCTATTTATAGAACATTTGTCCACGGTGTTTATTCTACCTTCGGCTGCTGCTGACGAAGAAGAAAACCAAGAGTCATTTCACCTGCCATTATTATTGGTAGAAGACACTCATTTGGATGCTTGTAATTTAAACAGCTGACTAGAAGAATTACTTTAGAACACCATTGTCATCTTTAAAGATGGTTTTTAGAAAAGAAGCAGAATCAGCTCGGCCTGAAAACTGCAGCTGAGAATGCCACTGTGTAACTGCTGAACGTGGGGATGCTGGGCATCGGCAGGGTGCAGGGGTGAATGAATAATGAAAAGGTCTTTGACGTCACTGTGGTTTGAAAGTCTCTTGTACCTCCAGAGAACCCCCGGTGGAGAAACCAGCAGTAGTTTCCTGGCATCTTCTTATTTTGTTTGTGTCAGACAAAAGAGCGCTCTTTTTTTTGTGCCCATGAAAGAACACATGTGGGTGCCTTGCCTTTCAACTGTAAACTGGCATTATCTGTGCATCTCCTGAGGAACAGGTGACCTCCTCTGTATCTAAACACTGATGTTCTGCCCACACAGAGACAGGTCTGTCACAGACTTCCTTTATAAATGACAGGCTCTTGTTGGACACCAGCCACTCAAATCAACCCACCAGTTACAGACAGAGGGTTGAATATTTGGGATTAGTCAAATTAATACTTTGTTCTTGTTCTTATTCTTGTTCTTATTCTTATTCTTATTTTCTTCACAGTAAAGAAAGGCAAGCTTGATGGACCCCAAGGTAAGCTATGACTTTTCTTATAGAAAACCTCATGTGGAATAAACATTTTTTGTATTGTGTTTTTTTTTTTGATCCACAGAACTGTATGAACAGTGTTTGTCAATTCTTTGTCCCTTTTTAACAGAGAAATTTAACACATACGTGACTCTCAAGGTACAGAATGTTAAAAGCACGACCATCGCTGTGCGTGGCAGTCAGCCATGCTGGGAGCAGGACTTCATGTTGTGAGTGATCTTCTCTCTCTCTCTCTCTCTCTCTCACTTTTTCTGACCACCCCACCCCCTCTCTGGTTCTCTGTCTGTTTGGTTCACAGTAATCAACCGTTAAAAATCTCTGTTAAAATGAAATCAGTAAAAAACCATCACACCATTAGCATACCACTCCATTTGACCTCTGACCTTCTGACCTACAAGTAATTCTCTTGTGAATCTTTTCCAAACATGCCGCGATCAGTGAAATAAACCGACTAGATCTGGGCCTAACAGTGGAGGTTTGGAATAAGGGGCTGATCTGGGACACCATGGTTGGCACCTTATGGATACCACTGAGCAGCATACGGCAGTCTAATGAGGTATGTCGCCGTGGTTTACCCAGAATTACTGTTGTTGGTGATTGGTCAGTGTCATCTACTGTCTCACAAGTTCAAATTAAGTGTGTGTAATTACTACATATAGAACACCCACAATAAGACAAGGCCCTTCTTACAGCCTCTCACACTGTAATAACAGGGTGACATCACGACAGATGCACATTCACCGACTGCACTGACTCAACAAATATATAAATATAAACACAACAAATATATAAATATAAATGCAATAAATACATAACTATAAATGCAACAAATATATAAATATAAACTCGATAAATATATAAATATGAACGCAACAAATATATAGAAATATAAATGCAACAAATATATAAATATATAATCAACAAATATATAAATATAAACTCAACAAAAATATAAATATAAACTCAACAAATATATATAAATAAAAATATATAATATTTTTTAAATGTATGCTGAATGTCCTTGTTTTTTTTATGTGGCCTTGTCTGTTATCTTCACATGCTAAAACAAAACAAAACAAAAACACTTTCTTACAGTATTTTGTTTATTTCTTTTGTTTCGTTTGTTTTTATTTTCCCTTCCAGGAGGGTCCAGGCCAGTGGCTCACCCTGGACTCCAACGTTATCATGGCTGAGAATGAGATTTGCGGAACCAAAGACCCAACTTTTCACAGACTGCTGCTCGACACCCGCTTCGAACTGCCTCTAGGTTTGACCTTTCCTTTCCTGGCCTTTGTATTCGCTGTTGTTTTGCCAGTTTGTTTGACCTGTAGAGTGATAGTTTAATGTGCTTCAGCAGCGGTTCTCAATTAAAGTCATTGTCAAAGACAAACAAGTCAAACTACAAATACTACGGCTTGAATGTTTTTACTACAGCTCTATTCCCTATTACTTGTGCTTCAGCATAACTACTGCTAGAGGTTAGGACTGTTGTCAACTTAAACTTAAAACTTAAAATGACCTGAATAATTTGAAGAGCACAGATCTTATGACAGGTGCACTTCCTGTGCAGATGGACCAGTTGAAATGGGAGCCCAGATTTCCATCTTCACGTTAACTTACCACACTCTGTTAAAGTCAATACATTTTCTTTTGGGGTTTTTTTTGTATGTTCAGAGTGTAATCTTGTTTGTCTTCTGTTTCCTGTGTGCTGCAGACATTCCTGAAGAAGAGGCCCGATACTGGGCCAAGAAACTTGAACAGCTTAACGCCATGAGAGATCAAGATGTAAGAACCGTCCTCACGTTCCCCCTACTCTTTTTACACCATTTACCGCAGTCTCTCCAATTTTGATTCTTTTGTCATTTTACATTTTTATTTCTATCCCTACGTTAAAATAGTTTACATTCATAAACATTGTGATGGACATTCCTCTATTTTTTCCTTCTCAGTATGCCAATCAAGAAGAACACGAACAACCTCTACAAGCGCCTTCCAATCAGTGCTGTGAGTATCAATGACAAATTTGTCTCAGTTTTCCTTCCTTCCTCCTTGTCTGTTCCAGTGCACTGACTTATGAAAGAGTGAGACTAGATAAGACTAATGGATAAAAGAGTAGGTGCCAAACCGGTGTGAAAAGAAAGGCAAGACTGTCTGTGCGATCATTTTAATCTAAACATCTGACATACTGATGATGATGATGATGATGATGCTGATAATGTCACAGGAAGTCAGTGGATAGAGCACATACAAGGATGTGTTGATGCAGCGAGGGTGATGGATATTTACCAACTTCTTCATGCTCTTCATGCTTTCGAGGCAATACTTTTAGGGATACATTTGTACATGTTTTGGCTTACTGAAACTGGGACCAATATATGGCTCACATTTAATTTGTTTTTGTTTGTTTTTTTTACTTGCAGGTAACTGGAATCTGTGGGGAGATCAACAAAGTGCGTTTTTTTTTTATGTGCCTTTTTAATGACCTGGAATTCTTCAGTTTGTTTTCTGTTTTTACTGATTTTACTATATATATGTATCATAGACCCTTGCAGGTTTAGCTATAAACAAATAGTGGTTCTAAAGTGCAGCGATTATCACGCCTGCTTACGTATTGGCCCTACACTCCATGTAGTTCTGTTGCAGCAGGTCTGCTGTTAACACTGTTTCCCCAGTGTGGGATCAATGCCGTTCTTGTCATGTTTGAAAAATAGTGGATATGTAAATGTAAAACTGCAATGCAAAAATAATTGACATGGTTCAGACCACGGTTGTTCCTGGTTACGCCATGTTGTTTCATTTGTGAACAGATGAGGATCCAGACAGCGCTGTGGATGACAGGGACAGTGACTACCGCAGTGAGACCAGTAACAGCATCCCGCCCCCGTACTACACCACCTCTCAGCCCAACGCCTCCATGCACCAGTACCCCATGAGAAACCAGCAGTACAGACACTCCTACAGTGATGAAATCCATGATCTTGATTACGATCACAGAGCCATGAGGTAACAAGCACCAACAGCCGCTACAAAACTTGTTTTTTTTTTTAATTATTCCGAATCAAATTCTAAGCCGCCGCCGCCACCAGATGTCCGCAAAAATGAGGTGGCCGCGTTGATCCAATTCAAATATGGTTTATGGTTATGGTCAAATATGGAAACATTGAAAGTGTAAATCGGCGTGTATACGAGAAATGGACACTCTTTGTTATTAGCACTAAGACATCTTTGGAATATAATTATAGTTTACATTATGTACAACAAACGCACTGTTTAATTTGATTTTACAGTTCCATCAAGAACAACTTGTGTGCAGTGTTGATTCCAGAATTAGCATCAAACACAGTGTGTGAAGCGGATTAGATTCCTTTATCATTTTTAAATGATCACCCATGTAGCCAGCAGGTGGGACAAAAGTGATTCATGCAGAACATTTAGGACTTTCATTTCCATGTTAATATATATATATATTTTGTAAATAAAGACGTCCAGGTTTTGCACCGTTAGACACTTGAGACCTCGTTGCCATGTGTTGTTCCATTTGTTGTCCCACTGCGCTCTTCTCCCCGAGAGAATAAGCCAGGCCTCGGTGAATACAAGCATGCGGGGCCAGGCCCTTCTTGTATACAGCTCATGTATGCAGTAGGCCTTTGTTGTTGTTTTCTGTCATTCGTGAGTTTGTCATTCTCTTCAGTGTTGTGTTGATGTCAGATGTGTGAGCATCAGAAATACCAGGTGAGGATATTATTGGCCCAGTGTCAGCTTCATGTCAGTCCATGTTTTTTTGACATAGAGTGAAAAAGTGATGAAACCTTTTCCTGTTCATACTGGGGAAAAGGAAATCATTTTTGATTGATCGAGTTGAGATTTGCATTGCATTAATCAGAACAGGAATACAATTTATTCATTATATAGTAGTGGTATTACATTAGTATAAGTGGCGCACACATGCAAAAGATCATCGTGCTCTGTTTCATTGATTCAGTATTCTGTGAAATAGGGAATGTATTTCTACAATCGAGAAGTCTGAAGAGAGTGGTATGCAGAAGTTACAATTCGAAACCTGTGTCTAATTTTAAAGGAGGAATAATTACAGTTTGAAAAATAACTTCCCAATTCATACAAGACTTTAATCTTTTTTGTTTGTTTGTTTTATTTTGCTAATTTCCAAACCTGCCTTTTTTCCTGTCAGGGCAGATGCTCACTTTCATTAGAGCTTTTCTCATTTCTGCACTGAGCTCTACTGATGCTCCTCTCCTGCCTCTTCCCTCCTCCTCACCTTCCTCCTCTTACCAGACGCTATTATAGTTTAGACTCGGCCACCAACGGGCGCAGTGATATCGACTCAGCCTCAGGGTCGAGCCAGCACACCAGTCGTCAGTATTCTCTAGACAGTAGGCACTCACTGTCCAATAGGTGGGTCTCTGTACCTCTTCTCCAAACCCTCCTCTTCTTCTTCCTGTTGCTCCGGCCTGTGACTCAGTCTCGCTGTGACGTCAGTGATGGACTTGTCCTGTCCTCCTCGCTCGCTGTGCTTTTGCATGCATGCCTTCTTGCCCTCTCTCTGTATATGTATATGGTCTGTATATAAAGTATTTATTAATGTATTTTGATTGGAAAACAAATGGTCCTGCATCCATCAGTGTTTCTGGCCAAAAAAAAAATCACAAATAATTCACAGTACCAATATAATGTATATTTGACACTGTAAAGCCCTGATAAGGTTTCTGCTGTTTTCTTCCTTGTCTTATATTTTATACTGTGAGCCATGTGACAGAATATGAAAAAAAAGAGAAAAAAATGTTTGGGGAAAAATGGCACAATAAATCTGCGAGTTAGTTAGAGAGTCGGTGCAGTCGATGAATGTGCATCTGCCGTGATGTCACCCTGTTATTACACCGTGAGAGGCTTTAAGAAGGGCCCTGTCTTATTGTGGGTGTTCCACATGTGATAATTATACAGACCTAATTTGAACTTGTGCGAGACAGCAGGAGGACACTGACCAAATAGTGGGGTCCTTCAGGCCAGAACAGGTCGTCTTCATTTCAACCCTACTTCTTTATGTGCGTGTGTGTGGATGTGTGTGTTTGTTAATTAGTTTGTTTCTCAGAAAGGAGGCAGATGTGTGCTTCCACGCAATCATTCGTCACTGTCTGTTGGGTAGAAGAGGTTGTGAGATAAGTGATGAATAGAGTGGAACACAGTGTCATAATTGAAAGCTTTTGTTAATTTTTTTTTTACATGTGTCTTATTGTCATTTATCCTGCACTAGGCGTTACTCAACTAACAGGGCGGTTACCAATATATAGAAAATATAATAAAAAACACAGTGTGTGTGGTGTGTCTCCTGCCAGGGAAATGATCTTCTCCCTCTCATTCGTTTTCTATGATTCGTAAACATCCACCTTTTTAGTGTAGTTTTCAGATTTTTTTGTTCCACTTTGTCTGCTTTAATATCCAGCAAGTTAAGATCTGCCATATCTTCTATCTTTTAACTTTACCGTATATCCTGTAAGAGAACGTCTGATCTGATCCTTCGTTGTGCTTTCCCCAAAATGATCATGCTTTTCTTTTCGTCACTGGTCGACATTCTTGGCACCAACATTGAATCCTAAAGTGTCGTCCAACCTCTAAATCCAACTTTGGAGACATTTGCTTTTAAACCCGTTCAGGAGTCTTTTGTTAATAACACACATCTCTTGCTCCCTTTAGTCCCACAGACAGTCGCTACGCCTCATCGGGCGAGTTGAGTCGAGGCAGCTCCCAACTCAGCGAGGAGTTTGTACCGGAGGATGGCGAGAGTTTGCGGGGCTCAGAGTTTTACGAAGAAAACGACTCCTACCACTCCTGCCACTCCTCTGTCAGCTATGGGAAAGAGGATTCTCCACGCTGGGACGGCGAAGACCACCAGAGTGTCTACAGCGACGACGAAGGCTATCTCAAAGATGGAGAAAGGGAGGGCACGCTGTATGATGAAGAAGGAGACATGTACAGAGAGGATGGGGATTTTAACTACGAAGACGAGGAAAAGATTCCATATGAGGGAGAAGAAGTTCCGTATCCCCGTGACAGCACCCTTGGTGAACTCCAGGAACCGTCCTACAGCCCCGCGAGCACCGCTGCCTCTCTGATGCCACCCTCTGATGGTCAGTCCAGCAGGCCACCTCTGGAGAAGCAGACCTCGTTACATCAACCACACCCGGCCACTGATCAGCTCCAGCCCCAGACCAGTGCCGCGGGTCCACCTCCCGCCTCACAGAGTGACTCGTTACCCGCCTTCACTTCAGACTCCAACAAATCCAACTTTGCACTATTACAGCCCGACATCACCACGACCTCCACTCCTAATTGTACAGCAGCAGCCGTCTCTAAGACCCCCGAGTTTCAGCACCAAACCGAGTCAACGCCGCAGGAACCTAAGCCCCCAAAACAGATGGCAGTGGCAGAAAGGGTGTCTCCACCTGCGGAGGAGAAAACAGTGGAGCCTCCTCCTCCATGGTGAGGGAAACCTCAGAAAGAATATACACTGTCGTGCTGCTTCAGTTAAATTGTTAACAATCAGCCCTTCAGTGTCAGTTTATATACTGTTCCCCAAATGAACTGAGTAAATAACGGTCAATTTTCTATTATCCAGATGAAAGGAGGACGATATTTATATATTATAAGACAAATTAAAAAAAAAAAAAACTAAAAATAACTATTGACTTTATTCATCACGTCACCTGGGTTACTCAGGAGGACAGTTACAGGAAATTATAAGACTGGGGTGTATTTTTATCTTTATCTTATGTTTAGCCCACGAGCTAACCGAGCTAGGTATCTGCTGTCTTTTTTATTGTTGAGTCTTGACATTTTGAGCTTTTGTACATGTAGGATTTCCTTTTGTTCGTGTAGGTACATGATAAATTTAAAGAAACATGTTAGCCTTAAGTTAATTTTTCATGGCTAACATTTTTACTGAATCAGCTGGCTGGGCGTTAGCTAAGTAAGGTATGAATTAACATACAACTGCTATAATAATTACAAACTTTGGTGTGATCAAATGTAATATTTATCTACATGTATACGTTTATTTAAAGTCAAAATGTCCAAAAACAAAAAAGCCATAAGGCCCTATTGGCCTCAAACTGATAAAGCTAACAGGAGCATAAATATACATCATTATAATTGTTCAGTCTGTTCTTAGGTTTTCTATGTTTTTTGTTTATTTATTTCTTTATTTTAATGTAATGTAATGGATGCAACATATTCTCTGTAATAGTTTTGAAAGAGCTATGTAAAAAAAAAGTAGTAACCATAGCTGTAACAGCCTGTTTATATATATATACACACACACACACACATATATATATATATATATACTGTATATCTATCTATCTATCTATCTATATATATATATATATATATATATATATATATACTGTATATATATGTGTGTGTGTGTGTATATTATATCTACACAGAATTTACAGATGGAAGAAGATAAAAGATACAGAAGATACATAAGTGAGAGAAATCAGATAGAATCCAAAAATTTGAAATGGAAATGTCAAAATGACAGCAGGGGCAGTGGTGGCTTAGTGGTTAAGGAAGCGGACTTGGGAAGGCTCCTGTCCACCAGCTGCCAAGTTACCACTGAGGTGCTCTGAGCATGGCATCTCCCCACATACTACTCCCCGGGCGCTTATAAGCTGCCCACTGTTCACTTTGGTGATGGGTTAGAGGTCACATTGACAACACATCACAATGACAAATAATTCACTTTCACTTTCAAAAGCATTAAATGTATAACAAACAACCATGTTTTATTGTTATGCAGCAGAGGGCTCAAAGACGGCTTAGAGAGGAAGAGATAGCAGCACGTGAAATACAAAAGTGTATGAATTAATTCTGCTTAAGTGACGACAGCAACAATAAGCCAAAAATCTCTAACATGGACATCTGCATTTTTGCAGCTTTCCAAAGAGAGAAGTCATGGAGCCCGGTCCTGCCAGAGCCAAAGCCAACTGGCTCAGACTTTTTAGCAAAGTGCGACTTCAGCTACAAGAGGTAGAGCTCTGTGTGTTTCTTTCCAAGAACTTTAATGACGTTTGTGTTTTGTTTTAAATGCCAAACAACTCTATTTATACAAATGAGGAAATCATAATACCATTAATGTTGGTCCCTTGTAATTCGGCTTTCTCTGTTGGTGTAGCTCAGGCATGAGCAAAATATGGCCCGGGGGCCGAATACGGCCCACTTGGCTTTTTAATCTGGCCCGCCAGACATATCCAAATGTATGTTTTTTGGTTTATATTATCATTATACTTGTACCTTTTCCCTGCAATGTCCACCTTTTCCCAGTAGATTGTGTAGAAAAGCTCATTTATCTTAGTTTATCCGAATGCTCCATCTGTCTGCTCCTGACTTGGACGCCCTGTCAAAATGTAGGACCCGTTTTAGCCCACGCCTGGTGTAGCTGCTGCTCCTCTATTGTCTCTATTGTTCCACCATTGTTTTCAATTGATGGTTGTTATGGTTGTTTATGCAGCATTGTCTTGTGACTGTTTTATTGTTTCTGTTCACCTTTGTTTTGTTTTGCCATGTCATTATTTTCTTTTCAGTTGTTTGCCATCCCGTAGTGATTTTTTTATGTAGTCCAGTCTGGTTACCCGTGGCTGGAGCGAACAGGTGGGTGTGGTCAAGAGTGTGTTAGTCAGTCTGATTCATTCTGTGCAAACTTAACAACTTACAGTTATATAAGAAGAGTTAACCAAGACAGTGGAGGAGAAAAAAAAACCTGTGTGACTCTGACAGCCTGGCGTTTCGACAGCTCATAATTATTTCCAGGCCTCAGAGTGATGCGGGGCTAGTGCTGGCTGTCAGTTTCCCAGCAGGCTGTCAGACAAAGAGTGTCTTTCCATAATGGACCAGATAGAATTAGAAGAATGATTACATGGATAGCCATCTGGCTGTAATCTACTTCTACTCTGAAACACAACAAAGTCATCGCTCATGTCGGTATTTACAGAATAACAAGGAGGACATAATTCAGATGTACGGTCCGTCCCCACGGCCTGTTTTTGTAACATTGTTCGTAGTGTTTTATTGTTCTTGTTAAATATAATAATAATGAACCTCCACATAGAGTAGTTGAAGTCCTGGCCTGTTTGTTTTTCTTCCCTCATTTCTCTCTGTGTCCACAGGCCCGAGGAGAAAGTGTCGGCATTGCCTCTCTTCTTTTATCGGCGGGGTAAGAAGCTGTGATGCCGTCGCTCCTACAGATATTTTAAATTTTTTACAACTTTCTTATCAAATGTGAAGTCTGTGTCCATAATATCTGACTTGTTCCATATTCCAGTTCATTTCTATAGTTTCGGTAATGACTCTAAATCTGTGTGTGTGCCCTTGTCTGGTCGGCAGAATGGGCGGTGCACTCTATAGCATTGACAGCATGCCCGACCTGAGGAAGAGGAAGGCTATGCCTCTGGTCAGCGACCTGGTGAGTTTCTCTGCTAATTGTTTTAGGTTTACATGACAACGTGTCTCACATTTTTCCAAACCATCTTTCACTGCCTTCATCAGTTTGTACTTTCATTTCTCTGGTCCAACTCCTTTTTCCATCAGGTTGGGGATCCTAGGCCTGAAAATAGTTTTGGAAATGAACATATTTTCTATTATTTCTAAGTTTAACTACATGAAATACATTATTAAATATCTCATGCTGGTTGGAGATATCTGGTATCAGCTGAGAAGTACGATCTTCGGTATTTGTGTCATTCGTACTTTACTCAAATTTACAGCGTGTGGCTTTTCTCCTTTCAGATAAATTGACAGTATTCACTTAAAGAAAACAGAACTCACAATAAAAGTTATTGTGTACAGACTCAACTGTACATTTTTAAAATTCTGTCTAGAAATTGTACTCCCTTTGATTCTTTTTTAATTTTAAATTCCCTTTTCCTCCCACCGTCACCCTCTGCCACAGGCAATGGTAAGTAAAACTATTTCCTTTTTTTACTATTTTTTTTAATAATCGTATATCGTATATTCACTTTCAATACTGACATCTGGTTTTCTACACTGGCGTATCCGTCACTGATCAAAGATGTCGGCTTGTTTTTCTGTTATCACTTATATTTATTTTTTTGTGTCGACTCCTTGTGCTTTAGCCCTTATTCAGACCTGTCACTGAGTCTATTTCTCATTCCGGTTCATTGTCATTTCAAAGATACGACACCTCGATAGACTCGACTTTTACCTATTAGTACAATTTTAAAAAACAAAACAATAGACTGAAAATCATTTTGTTTCTCCCGTCGTCCAGTCTTTGGTCCAGAACTCCAGGAAAGCTGGCATCACCTCAGCCCTGACATCCAGCACCCTCCATAATGAAGAACTGGTCAGTGCTCCTGTTACACTGTTAAACCAGATCAAAGGTTTGAACACCAGCTCTTCTGACCTTGCTTCTTTCTTATCGGTGACCTCGCAGAAGAGTCATGTCTATAAGAAGACCCTGCAGGCACTCATCTATCCCATCTCCTGCACCACTCCACATAACTTTGAGGTGTGGACGGCCACCACCCCCACCTACTGCTACGAGTGTGAGGGACTCCTGTGGGGCATCGCCAGGCAGGGCATGCGCTGCACGGAGTGTGGCGTCAAATGCCATGAAAAATGTCAAGACTTACTCAACGCAGACTGTTTGCAAAGTAAGTTTATTGCGTTTATTGAAACATTTTCATTTAATAACAATTAGCATGATGAGTAAATAAATAATCAGTTCATTTAAGTATATTTAACATTTATTTTATATTAGAATTTAAGATAATATTAAGAATAATATTAATTTTAAGAGCATGTTTCTATCACTATACAATGTGCAGTATTGTGAGGTATTTAGCTGCGCCTAAAAACCCACACAAGCCTTTCACCCTCCAGTTAATTTTTTAATGTCTTTTTCTGAACTGAACCATTTGGATTGCGTCCAAAAAGGCAACTGTTTTTCCTGTTTCTTTCTGCCTCAAAAACCTTGCAGACAGGCAGCTTTGTCACTGCACTCTGCATATCATTTAAAATGTCCAACTCCATGCCAACTGGTCTACTCTGAAATTTAAATAAATATTATACGTTCTTGATAAAAACATTTTTACACTCAATTTACACTCACCTTCTAAGTCTTTTATGACGTCTCATTAAAAAATATTTGCTTTCACCTTTACACGACTGATCGCTTTGTCAACATACGCAGGGGCAGCCGAGAAGAGTTCTAAACATGGAGCGGAGGACCGAACCCAGAACATTATCATGGTGCTTAAGGACCGCATGAAGATACGTGAGAGGAACAAACCAGAAATATTTGAACTGATCCAAGAAGTGTTTGCCGTCCCAAAGTCGACCCACGTCACCCACATGAAGCAGATCAAACAGAGCGTGCTCGATGGCACTTCCAAATGGTCGGCGAAGATCAGCATCACAGGTGAGACCTTGGGTTACACACCGATGGTCGTGGCGAGAGCCGGCCAGAAATAATAATCATAAAAATGTCTGAACCTGTCAGTATATGTCACACAGGCCACGTGATGTATTTACTCACTCACAAAATGATAAGTTGAACCTCCGCCGCCGTCTCTCTGTGCAGTCTTGTGTGCCCAGGGTCTGCAAGCCAAGGACAAAACAGGCTCGAGTGACCCATACGTCACTGTCCAGGTGGGAAAGACCAAAAAGAGAACAAAGACCATCTACGGAAACCTCAACCCAGTCTGGGAGGAGACATTTAATTTGTGAGTAATCCTATGATGGAGTGGGTTTTAATAAGGTTTTTTAGTAAATAAATTGTATTGATCAATTATTAGTATTATGGTCTTTATTGTTATTGTAACACGGGGATATTAATTACCAGTATTAATTAATTCCTGCAACGAAAAACAGTAAAATATATGAAATGTAAAAAACGTGTCAGATTACATGATCTTTCTGTAGATTTATACCGTTATCTTGTTTTGCTATCTTTAACTTCAACTGTGGCTCATTTCCCTACTCTGTTGATGCAGTGAGTGCCACAACTCCTCCGATCGCATCAAGGTGCGGGTCTGGGATGAGGACGATGACATTAAGTCCCGGGTAAAGCAGAAATTCAAGAGAGAGTCTGACGACTTCCTCGGTCAGACCATCATTGAGGTCCGTACCCTGAGTGGAGAGATGGACGTCTGGTACAATCTGGGTCAGTGGAACTGCGTCTTCCTGCTGTTCCTTTCTTCTGTCTCTTCATGCCTGGAAGATAAATACGTTTTAACTTTGGTATTTTCTTTGTTTCTTCTCCTCTCACAGACAAACGCACAGACAAATCAGCTGTATCCGGGGCTATACGCATGCACATAAATGTAGAGATCAAAGGAGAAGAGACCGTTGCCCCGTATCATGTTCAGTACACTTGTTTACATGAGGTAAGGGCATCGGGAGTGTCATATATGCATTTTCTGCATACTGTACCTACGTCACTCGGCTACACTAACACAGCGGTGACATCGTAATCTGGGACATCACAAGAGTCTGACGTACACCTGAGTTCCCAAAATAAAACAACACATACCGGTCCTTGGTACAAAAAGGTTGGGCACCGCTGTTCTATAGTAAAGATCTTTTACCACAGCAAAATCTACTTGTTTTGACATCTGCGCTGCTTCCTGCGGAGGTCCCGGCCAGTTGAGGCAGCTTAATCTCTGCGTTTGCTGGAATCAGTACTCAGCCCATTACTCAGAAGTACATTAGTTGAATCTTAACCAGCGAATGACCACTTTTATGGCATCACATAAGTGGCCGTTAACCACAGAGCCTTTACAGAAGCATTAAGGTTCACGCCAGGGCGGCGTTTAAACAGCATTTTAATGCGGAGACACACAATTTCTCTTTCTGTTTACAAAGACAAGGTGGTTAATGAAAACATTTTTGTGTAAAATGAAATACATTCGTATGTTAACTCAAATTTCTCTTCTCTTACATACATCCTTTTGAGCTTTACCCGTAACTCAGTGATGTTTCCTTGGTGCAGAACCTCTTTCACTATGTGACGGACATCCAGAACAATGGCGTAGTTAAAATTCCCGATGCTAAAGGGGATGACGCATGGAAAGTTTACTTTGAGGAGACTCCACAGGAGATTGTTGATGAGTTTGCCATGCGCTACGGAGTGGAGTCCATCTACCAGGCCATGACGTATGTAAAAGCGCTTTAAAAAAACCGTCACTAGTTTTTCGGCGTCGATCCTCAGGTGAGTGTCTTTCTCTCATTTTCAGCCACTTTGCCTGTCTGTCGTCTAAGTACATGTGCCCGGGTGTACCTGCAGTAATGAGCACCCTGCTGGCCAACATTAATGCCTACTATGCCCACACCACCCAGGCTACCAACAACGTTTCTGCCTCTGATCGATTTGCTGCATCTAACTTTGGGGTGAGTCTTTGCAGAGTGGAAACTGTTCACGTAACAGGTGTCACTGATTTGCCGTAACACTGAAATAATAATAAAATCTGTTTTCATGTACTGCATCGTGTGTTTCCAAGTTAACTAATTACCTCGAATAAAAGACGTATTTAAGCCGGTTTTTATATGTACGTCTTGATGTCAACAGAAAGAGAGATTCGTCAAACTTTTAGATCAGCTGCACAACTCTCTGCGCATCGACCTGTCCATGTACCGGGTAAGCAGTGTCTCCCTTTGTATGGTGGTGTCATAAGTTCTTGTAACAAGAAACAAAAAGTTGGAAAAAAAATGCCTGCGGATGTGTTAATTAGAACTCTAGAAAATACACTGACACATTCAAGACACCCACACAGTAGCGTGTGGAAATTGTGTGGCTGTGTTAGATGCATCACATAAAAAAAACAAAGAAAAACCAAGTGCTATCATGTGTTATGGCTCAGGGTTTTTTTTTTTTGTTTTGGTTTTATTTTTTCAAATTTGCAGAACAACTTTCCAGCCAGTAGTTCTGAGAGGCTACAGGATCTGAAATCCACAGTGGACCTCCTGACCAGTATCACCTTCTTTAGGATGAAGGTACATAACCGTCCTCCTCCTCCTGTGTTTGCAGCTGTATTGTTCATATTTTTATTACAAACTCAATGTGAAAAATATTTTTATTATTCCATATTATTATACATATTTACTTGTGTCTCTCTTTTGTTCCCGTTTGTATGTTAAGGTCCAAGAACTCCAGTCTCCACCTAGAGCCAGTCAGGTGGTGAAGGACTGTGTCAAAGCCTGTCTCAACTCCACCTACGAGTACATCTTTAATAACTGCCATGAATTATACAGCCGGGAATATCAGACAGACCCGGTAAGAATATTTTTCATGACCTATTTAAGAGCCAACACACTCATTTAGTAGTTTGTATGAGTATTAGAGAACATTCTGGGCTCCACTCGATCAGTCGTTTGTCAGTTTTCTGGAACTCTGAAACCTCAGAATTGACCATTCACTCATCAGTGTAAAATGATTATTTGGCTGATAATGGTGAATTTCCACTAAGTTCACTAAGAAAGCTTTCATTGTGACAGCGGTGCCCATGTTTGTCCCTTGAATCTAGGTTAAATGCCAATGTCTAGACCCCTGTGCCGTGAGAGATAGTTAGGTGTGCCTAAAATATCCAGTTCCACTTAATTGGGCTGAAAACTATTATTTATTTATTGCAAATAATATGTCTTTGCTCATCAAAACATGAAAGGCAGAACAATTAAATACTCCTCTGCTAGGTGGCAGCAGTCGACTATGAAAATAAAAACAGATAATCAGAGCTGTTGAAGAAGATCTTTGTGTCTTTCTTCAATTCCTGCCAGTACACCAGGCCGAGATAACTAGAAGATTATTATATTTCATTACATATACTTTTGTGAGGTTTTTGTTTGGCATTGTGTGTTTTTCCTGACGATATACTGTATATGCCGTGGCTCAAAAAAGGTTGCGAGACACCGGTCTGGACTCCCAGTGATCCTGAGGGATTGGTTAAATGTAATGGATACATTTTGTTAAGTGTTTATGTGTTTGTACAGGCAAAGTGAGCAATACTGCTGATTCTTCTGCTTCTTCTTTCTATTAGATAATTGTAAATATTAGTGGATTGCTGCATTGAGCGTAATACTGTGGAACAAGACTTGTTTCCTGTGTGAATGTTCATCTCCACCCATCCATCATCCTGCACCAGATTTTTGGAACCTGTTTTAAATTATAAAGTGGTGCACCAGCTGTTTCCAGACTCCCTTGAGAATTAAATTTTTAAAAGCATATCTGCCAAAGAAAGTGAGAGTTTTCACAGGAGGTGTTGTTTTACTGTCTTAGAAATAATTCTTCATTTGCCAATCCCATCATTTTTATTTGTTTTTACTTTCTAATATTACTTATCAGTTATTTGTGCATGACAGCTAAACAAATGTAATTTTGGATATTTATAACACTTACAGGCAACAGTAATTGCAGATTTATAAGATGCTTAAATAAAGATAAGATAAGATTTTTGTCAGATAAAGTAGTTTAAAAATGTTTTTGAATTGTGCAGGGAGATGTTTGGTTTCTTATAAAGGCTCTAAATCATAATTGGAATTTTTTTTGTTCTTGTTTCAGGCAAAACAGGGTGCGGTGCCTCCAGAGGAGCAAGGGCCAAGCATCAAGAATCTGGACTTCTGGTCCAAACTGATCACTCTTATTGTCTCCATCATTGAAGAGGACAAGAACTCCTACACTCCCTGTCTTAACCAGTACGCTTTCATTTTACTACGACCAGTTTATGAATGCATATTTAATACTAGCTACGTTTCTCTTTCTTGAAAGCAAAATCACAAAATGTGAGATGGTAGAAGAAAACAGACAGCATCCTAGCTATAAACAAAGCTATAAACAAAATCCAAATCAATGATTAATGCTCCGTTGTGATGGAAGCCTTGTGTTTTAATTGGTTCTGGTTTAATAGGTTTCCTGGCTATCTGACAGTAAGTGTACCTTTATATTTTTGGAAATGGCTTCTAGTTTTTATTTAACACTGTTTTTTCCCTTTGGTTTTTAATGTAGATTTCCACAGGAGCTGAACGTGGGTAAAATAAGCGCAGAGGTGATGTGGAATCTGTTTGCTCAGGATATGAAATATGCAATGGAGGGTAAGTGCATGGTCATTGCTTTAAATGAGCTATCAGACTATAACCACAGCTAGGTTATGGTTAATAAAGTAAACAGCACGAAAACAAAATACCCAGAAAATATCATCAGTAACGTGACATTTTAACCGAAGGCTCGGTTCTTTTTTTTTTTACAGAGCATGAAAAAAACCGCTTGTGCAAGAGTGCCGATTACATGAACCTGCACTTCAAGGTCAAGTGGCTGTACAATGAGTATTGCAAGGACTTACCGTTCTTTAAGAGCAGAGTGCCTGAATATCCAGCGTGAGTAGCAGCTCGACCATCACTGTGCACACCAATGTCAAAAAATACCAAAGCACACCTGTGGTATAAAGCTGTAATGAAAGTGATTAGATTACAGCGTTAGGTCTGTGAGTCATTTTTGTGCTGTGGCCAATGACTGTATTTATTAAAATTATAAAATGCCCTGCTCTCAGACTTGTGCTTTAAGGTGTACGCCTCTGACAACATGTTAGAACTACGAGAGTCTCCACTCCATGACCTTACTGAATGGCATTATCACCGTCATGAAAATGTTCTATTTTTTTTCCTCATCTGTGACGTTCTGTCCTGCTCTACTGGTCATGTTCTTAGGTGGTTTGAGCCATTCGTCATTCAATGGCTGGATGAAAATGAAGAAGTGTCTCGAGACTTTCTGCACGGTGCTTTGGAAAGAGACAAAAAAGACGGGGTAAGAAAAATCTTCCGTTACATCTCTAAAACTGCGGAGTCACTGCCGTTGCTCTGCTCCATTGCACAGATCCAACGCCCCTCACCTCCCCAAAACGCTGTTTTGTAAAGAAATTCTTTGAAACTTAAAAAAGTCAGGTTAAAACGTGCCTGTACCTGTGACAGTAGGACATTGTGAATCGTGGCCTTATTTTAGAGTTGTGACTGCAGGAACGCTGCCTTCAGCTCATTACCCAGCCCAGACTCCCCGAAGGAACAGCTAGACGTTCACCTTCGTCCACTTATGGACCAGGCAAAAGACAGCAGCCAATTATAAGGAGGCAGACAGAAGCTCACACCTGTCACAGAAAGGCTTCTACATTTGTAATCTTCTTGAATATTTTTTTTTCTGTCTCTCAGTTCCAAGTCACATCTGAACACGCTCTGTTCTCCTGCTCGGTGGTGGATGTGTTCTCTCAGCTCAACCAGAGCTTTGAGATCATCCGCAAGCTGGAGTGTCCGGATCCACAAATTGTGGGACACTACATGAAGCGCTTTGCTAAGGTGGAGTCATGATTATCCTGTTAATTGTCAACGAAGGGGTTCTAAAATCAGGAAAAGTAACTCAATATCGCTTGTGATTTTAATCTCTTGATTATCCTGTTCCACAGACCATCAGCAATGTGCTCTTGTCCTACGCCGATATCATCTCCAGGTTATTCGCCAACTACGTCTCTATGGAGAAAGTGGTGAGTATCCAAGGAAGTGATGAACACTTTATTGAAATAACATATTTGGAATATCAATAACGTACACAAAGAAAGAAATGTTTGCCGGCGTGTCCGACCGACGGTGCCCTGTTGTCTTCAGCCCTGCATCCTGATCAACAACATCCAACAGCTGAGAGTTCAGCTTGAGAAAATGTTTGAAGCCATGGGTGGAAAAGACGTGAGTTATTATGTGTGACCTCGGTTCTTTGTCGTCGTTAAGGTTCATCCAGGTCCCTTTCTTTCTCCCTATACCCTGAGTCTTGTTCGTGTTTCCCTGTCCTTCAGTTGTGTGTGGAGGCCAGTGACATCCTGAAGGATCTGCAGGTTAAACTCAACAATGTAATGGATGATCTCAGCAGGGTCTTCTCCGTCAGGTAGAGTAGCTCCCACGGCTACGTCCGCGCTAATTCACGATTAGCAGAAAAGACTTAGGGACTCATTAAATATTCATGCGGTTGATTTCTTCTCTTAGTTTCCAGCCTCACATTGAGGAGAATGTGAAGCAGATGGGAGACATCTTGGCTCAGGTTAAAGGAACCACAAATGTGGGAAATGCCAGCAGCGTGGCACAGGACGCCGACAACGTCTTGCAGCCAATTATGGAGTTCTTGGACAGCAAGTGAGTCAATGGATCAACCTATGAAATGAAGAGATGTTTTTATACTCTGTCAGACAAACGGGTGGGCCGCGAGGTTGTGGGAGGTAGCGGGGGCAGGGTACGCCAACGGTAAGGTTTTTTCAGACGTTTTTGCCGAAGTAACACTTGAATGTAACAGCTGTAAGATTCCCTCATTTTCTAGAGGTCCTTCTCAAAGGGATTTCTAGAACACTTTCTCTGGTTTTGTGATCATATTTGTATCTCATTTTCACCTGCTCACTTTTCTTTGGAATGATTCCTTCCTTTTTTTTTCTCCTCCTTCTCTGTCAGCCTGACGCTGTTTGCTAAGATCTGTGAGAAGACTGTTCTGAAACGCGTGTTGAAGGAGCTGTGGAAGCTAGTGATGAACACCATGGAAAAGACGATCGTGCTGCCACCGCTCACAGACCAAACGGTGAGAATACACGGCAGCCCAGCTGCACGTCCAGACACTGGAACCGCTTAGTTTTTAGGAAATGCACCGATACAGCCTCATTTGGTCGATTCGCACCTGCAAACACAAACACAGATTCACTCACATAACACTTGTTTATATCACATAAGCCCACCGAGTAATGCAAATGAGCTTCTTTATGTCCCCGCAGGCAAACAGGTACATTATATAGATGTCTCGTGCATTAACGGTGACTCATTTACTAGCCGTGTGGCGTACGCGCACCGACGCGTTCACTAAACAAGCCCACACCTGCCAAGCGGCATCAAAAGAATGAGGAGGAGGAGGAGGAAGGAGAAGAGATGGAAAATAAGGATGAGGAGATAAATTGAGTCAGACATTTTGTATTTTCTGCAAGGAGGGAAATAAAAAATGCTTGTTCATCACATCAACCTCAGTTTATTCATTCAGTCAGTTAGTCAAAGACTTGTGTAAATTCATGGAGTAAAAAAAAAACTAAAAAAAAAAAACTAAAAAAAGGAGTGCACCATATCATTTTACACCAGCCCATGGCTGCTCTCCAGCATGTCAGTCAACAATGATTTGGAGAAATTCTGACATAAACTCAGAGCCAAGTGGCAGAACCAAACTCTATCTGGCCCACTTCCAAAAATGAGTCATACATTTTGGAAAGCAGCCTGTTGTTATCTTTTCTTTTAGATATGTGTGTTATTTTTACGTTTTGCTATTACTAAAAGAGCCTCATATCACCCCTGATATTTCCATTACCGATCCCCGATAACTGTGCGTAGTTTCGGCCGGTGCTTTGTTTTCACGGCTCGGCCGCACACTAACCTTTCTTCAAATCTGAACTTTTTTTGAATAGATTAAGACCTCTATAATTGTCTGTCTTAAAGTGCTCACAGAGCGAAGGCTTTAGGAAGTGGTCGACTGGAACCTCGTCGCTCCAGCTGTGAGGCCCAAACATGTGTCTGTGACTGATGTGGGGCTCTTTGCTGCTTTACTGACCCTTTTCTCTGGTTGTTGTTGTTTTTGTTTTTGTTGTTGTTGTTGTGATTACTATCACATCCTGCTCTGCCACCACAGATGATTGTAAGTACAGCACTCCTTCATGTGTGTCCGTCTGTTCGTTAATTGGTGATTGGTTCTTATTCTCTATGTGGCTGCGATCTTCCCCTGTAACTTGCCCCATAATCCACTCTGACATTGAATGGGGTCATCATCTGTCTGACATCGTCTGACCCGTATCTCTACTCTAGCCCTTTAACCTACTTTACTTTACTCTACTCTATTGTAGTCTTTTACACTCTTTTCTTTTCCTTTCAAATTCTTCTTGAGCCAGAGTACAAAATCTTACATTGGAAAAATCCCCAGAAATGTCACAAAAAGTACATGTAATGAGATATAATGATTTTGTAGTTTAAATGTACTCACAATGTACTTACACACAATGCTGACATACAAACAGGAATAGAAGAAAGACACAAAAATGTTCTTCAACAGATCTTAGTCTCTCTTTGGTTTAGCTTTTATACAGTATTTATCTGCTGCCACCCGGTGGAATAATTATTAATTGCTCTGCCTGTCATTCATCCCTACTCTGTCTCTCTTGAGAAGACAGAAGCATGGCGGATTCCTGACTGGTCCTTATAGGCCCCGTATCCTCGACAGTCTTCACCAATAAGAGCCCCTCTCCTTCCTTCTGTCGTCCACTAAGCACTTTCCTCAAACGGGAAGAAATACTTCTTTCTTGCTGGTGTTGCCTTGTTTTGTCTCATATGTTGTGTCTTCAAACTTGGTCTCCGGTGGTGTTTCTTATCTCTTGGTGGCTTGGGAATGGTTCCTCTTGCGCTTTTCGTTCTCCCCACACCCTCTGCCCCCATCAATATTTCCACCTTCCCTTCGTCCGAACTCTGTCTCCGACCACTCACGGCCTCAACCGGTGGTTTGCAACTAATCTATTCCAACATCTACTGCAATCTTCTTTCAGTTTACTGTGAAACACTGTTTGTATTGTATGTCTCTGCAGACCTACTGTTCGGTCTGTCCCGGTTGATTGCATGTTCTATCGTCACTATAATTCGTCACGCACAAAATTGCCTTTCTGAGTAAGTTGTGTAAGTTATATCATTTAAATGCAACATGGGGTCAGAATTGAAGGAAAAATAGTTGAGATTAGCATGTAGCTGCAACCCTCTGCTCTGCAGACGTTTCCACAAATGCAATTGAGTGCAACGTGCAATGAGTGGAATGTCTTGGTCTGTGAATTTAGAGCCCTCTGGGTAAAGCATGTTGAATATAAACATTACAGTGTAATTTGATTAAGTTTGAGAACAGTAGTAGTCAAACCAGAGCATATTCGCAGAGGGGTAAGCGCGGCAAGAATGCCTTAGCCTAGATAGCACTGACTGTCTGTCGATTGGAAACGCCAGAAATGTAAGAAAGAAATATTTGTTTTAATACATAAGAAACATAGTTTTAAAAATACCATTTAAAACTCTCCACTGTCCATACTGCTGGTATTTTATGGAAGAGAGGCTGTGTAAACCCACTGACCCCAGCCTCGCAACCAGTAAGTCTGTGGACCGGCATCTTCTCTCAGAGGTGACTTCTCTAAGTATTCAGAGCCTTCGTGGTTGGGGCATAAACCGGGGTAATCTTTTTTGTCCGCCGTGACGTGCACTGCACCTTGTGCTGTCTTTGGCCCTAGAAGTGTGATACCTGGTCATCCAGGTGTTTATGTGCTTTTAGATGTGACAGCTGTCTTTAATACAGTGGATGACAGGAAACGATTCATTCTGAACTGATAAAGTTTAGCTCTTAAAAGGTTCAGCTTTTATTTGTCTAACGGGATCACAGTATTCCTAACCGTCGGGGGTTCCTCGGGGCTCTGCCTTAGGTCCTGCACTGTTTCCTTTCACTATGCTTTTAGGCTTGATTTAAAACAATAGAGATGATTTCATCGCTTTACAATCACTTTAAAATTTGATTCAATTTCCATATTGACTCTCCGAACGGTTAAAAGAACTGAATAAAATATCTGAATGAAGTAAACAGAATCTATTGTATTTGGGCAATAGTCACGCATATTGCGAGCACATGCGGATCATGTAGTTATACGTAGTTCACTCCAAATTAAGAAGAAAAACAATAATAGCCAAATGTGTCTTATGGACACTGACTTTCTTCATGTTTTGCTTGAAGTAATTGATGGAAAAGTTGCTGTCCTTTGGTTATGAGGATGTTGTGAAATATTTTATACATATTTTCCAGTTGATTTTCTTCAGATTAACTTGCCTAGTGATCAGTGAGAGTATACACAGACCTTCTGGGATTGGCCTTTTAAAAGTATTAACCAAATGTTCTCTTTCCAGGGGAGACTGAAGAGTGCTTCTCACAGTGATGTAAGGACTAAACCACCTTCAGATCATTGTGTCTTGTCCCTCTACTCTGTGTTGTCACTGTGTCCCCGTCTTTCTCCCTCAGCTCCCGAGTCAGTTCCCATTGGAAAATATTTTGTTGTTTTTACACAACATATATCAATAATTGTTTTTAGTAAAACATTTTTTTGCATCAGATATGTATTCACAACACAAAGTAAAACCAAATTAAACATATTACTCTTTGAGTTCACAGTTTAACAACCTGCGTTATTTCTGCTCACAAACCAGATTTTTTTAACTCGAACAAACATGTATTTATCGTATTTGAATTCTTTTTAAAATTATTTACCCCTGTTATTATTATTAGTTGTTGTTTGTTGTCAAAGCAAAGAGTTTTGGCTGTGTGGCACTGTGTATTTAATACAGTAATTACAGGGTTCCTATGGTCAATCAGGAAAAGTTTTGGAAGTGTAAAATTATTATTGAGGCCTTCGAACAGTTATTGTGAAATGACAGGTTTTGGAAACGTCACGGAAATATTGCGTGTATAACATATAGGATGCGTAGAACATAATAAAATACCGTTAGGTGAGATTAAAATTTAAATTGACACGTACAACGTCACGCTAGATTGTTGACTTCACCGTTAATTTTATCAAACAGGCGGAACATCTGTGCGGACAACCGCTCTCCGGACGTGGGTTTCGTGGCGCCATATCTCACGACGAAATGTCATGAAAGTGTAGTTTTAAGAACGAGGGGCTTTTTAAGGAGAGGTGCTGACTTTGCACCAAGTCCGTCGACCTATCTAGCATGGGAGAAGCGGCAGTGGTGAGTCACGCGAAGAGCAGGAAACACACGGCGGCCGCTGAACGTTCCAGAAGCTTCTCCATCAGAGAGTATATGGAGACAGGCGATGGCGGTGCTGCGGTGTCCTCCTCTCCGACACAGACGCCCGTTGCAAGGTCTACGGTCGCAGCAGTTTACGAGGCGAAGCAGACAAAGTAACGTAACGAAAACAGAAGTTCTTAAAGTCGAGTTTTTATTTTGGTAATTTTATATGTTTCTATTGCTCAAAGTACTCGGTAACCAGTCTTTCGGTGTCCGAAGCGTTGACGAATTACGAACCCAGTAATTATCCTCAGTTATCCTTAAAAGGTTTTATTTTATTACCTTAGTCACTGATTTCTTACTGCGTAGAGTCCGACTTAAAATCTGCGATTTGCTGTTATTGCAAATACATGTACAACGTTCATACTTTTGGATCGTATAGTGACACTGGACACTGTACCATCTAAAGCTGACAACGTAAAAACAGCAGTCATTACTTTACCTCTTAAGACCTGCAGGACTCCACAGTGCAACTGCAAAGCTGGGTGTGTCTGTATGCATGTGTGTGTTCATGAGTGCAGACGTTCTTTCCCTCAGTATAGGCTGAACCACATGTAAAGAAATGTCTTGCTGTGTGTGTAATAATTAGAAGAAAAAAACACTCTTAATGGTATTGAGTGTTTTAGAAGAAAACTCTACTTTGACATCTCTAATGCATTTTACTGAAGAGTGACTGTTGATCAATGTGCTTGTCAGAAATCCTTCTGTCTTCTGTGTGACACTGGACAGTTTGCTGCCCGCCCCCTTCCCTGTTTGTCCAATCACAATGTTTCCTTCTTTACTACTTGTCTTTCTCTTCTTCTGCAGGGCACTCAGCTCATCTTTAATGCTGCAAAGGAGCTGGGGCAGCTGTCCAAGCTGAAGGTAGATGGTCGGATACTGAAATTATACATATATATATATATATATAAAGATGGTTAGAGTGACTTTGCCCTTGCTGCCGTCTGTAGGAACACATGGTTCGTGAAGAAGCTAAAGCTCTCTCACCCAAGCAGTGTGCTGTGATAGAGCTGGCTCTAGACACCATTAAGGTACTTTCTCTCTCTCTCTCTCTCTCTCTCTCTCTCTGTCTCTTTCTGTCTCGCATGTAATTAATATGTGGAATGTGAAAGTGCATTTGCCTCTTAACATCATTGTAACAAATACAGAAACCCTTATCACTTGTAGTACAAAATCCTTGATTAATGAAGTGTATCTTCTGCCTGTTTATTATGATTATTGTATTATGATTGAAGTACAAGTTGATTGTTGTTATTGTTGCTTTTTATTTAACATTTAACCTTTTAAATATATTTTTCTGGTAAAAAATATTTTATCTGAATTCCAGCAATACTTCCATGCTGGTGGTGTGGGTCTAAAGAAGACATTCCTGGAGAAGAGCCCTGACCTCCAGTCCCTGCACTACGCTCTGTCCCTCTACACCCAGGCCACGGACAAACTGATTAAGACCTTTGTCCAGTCACAGAACGCACAAGGTATTCCAGGATTCACTGACATTTACTTCTGCGTAGCAGTGTTTTAACTAGAAACATAATCACTACTATCAATAGAATAAATGATGATAATATCCCAGTTTTGTTCTACTTAGAAGAGTCAGAGGAGCAACTCTGTTCTGTTTTGCTCGTGTAGGAAATTCTGTTTTCTGTTTGTAGATGTGTCGTTTGTAAAATATACATCACATCCTTTTGGAAGACAGCCTCCTGATTAAAAGAAGAATTTGGTTTTAGGAAAGGTTTCAGCTGAAATCATAAGAAATGCCACTGTTTTCCCCTTTGTTTCTGCTCTTCATGTTTTCTGCCCTGTAGTCAAAGGACTTGACCTGTAGTTGAACTGCTGTTTGAGCGGAAGATTGATTAAAAAACTGTTTAGTAACAATCACCGCGCAGTGACTTCACCATCCCTGAAGCACTGTATGTTTTACTGCAGCCGATCTTTACGTTTGTAGGGATGAAACTTTGTCATGTTTCTGTTTCATTACAACTGAAAGCTTCACGTTTTTACATGTTTCTCCTCTCTCTGTCTAATCTCTCCTTTTCGCCCCAATCTGTGGGCCAGTGTTCGGCGGGAAAGGGTTGAGGTTCACCACTAGTGAGGATGTTTACCCAGAGAAGGGTATGTGACGCTCGGGTTCAGGGCCTGAGACATCCAGGAGTACTAGAAAGCCTCCAAAGCAAATCCCAACTCTATCCACCCTCCACCTCTCACCCATGTGCATCCTGAAACTCCCCTGCCTGTTAAGAATGGCCACAGTAGACACCTGAAATGCAGTGATGGAGAATCCACCCACATTCATCCTCCCGATCGCTCCCCGTTTCTGCCATTTCACACGCACGTAGACACATAAGCCGACACGTAACGACGACACGCACTTGGCCCGTACGCATCCTTGCATGTGAAGGAGACACTGATGTCTGCGAGTAGAGTATTCTGCACTGAATACATATGCTACCGACAGTATGTATGAGCAGATATGAAAGCATGGTATGCGGACATCAGACAAAAGAAATAGAAATGCGTTAAGGTGAAGAGGAACCTCGACCCAGCATGATGTCAGACCGGAAAAGCCCTAAGGCTCCTGGGTCTGTGAGTGTTTTGGAGTGTAATTACGGCGATGGCTGCCAATTCGCCGTGTCTGGGATTTGGTCTGTGCCGCTCCACACACTAATGCACACGTACTGGTCCCTAGGGTCCTGTAGTTTGAATTATTGGTTTTGAACAACATCCTTTTGTTATTTATGCAATTGTTGTCCTCTGAATTGGGTTTGACAAATAGTAATAGTAGTGTAGTTTGACTTTGCTTCACTGGGGGGGCTCAAACTAAAACTAAATGTGATTCTGGGCAGAAATGTGCCCCCATCTCTCCGTTTTCTGCTCTGGAGGTTTATTGCCGTGTCTAAGTAGGGTTGACCGTGCTGCCGAACACCTCCTCTTTCGCACACGCCGCCAGCAGAGTTTCTGTCAAATGGACGTCCAGATGGACGACAGCTCCTGTCTTTTGATCCAGAGACGCAGCGAGCTACAGTACATGCCAGGAACATTTCTGCCATCTAACTCCCTAAGCCGTTCTGTTTAGTGGAACGGAGATAGAAAAATCTCCCACGCACACCGGCTGCCGGTCGTAACCGTAAGGATACCGCTGAGAATTAAGACGCTAATTAAAAAACATTTAAAGTTGTCGGCCATCTGTCCTTGGACTGAATTAACGGCACAAAACCAAAGCACAACACGGGGAAAGATTTCTGACAAATCTTTCTCAGTGTCGTGGTTGGGTTTGAGTCGAGTCGTCCAGTTCCCGAAACCGTCTCGTAAGCGGTGAGTCTGACAGGCGCGCAATAACAGCTAACTTTAGATAAAATGTGCTCACCAAAACCAGAAGTTGTCTTACGATTTCTTTCTGCACATATAACGAGACTTAATATTGGCATTAGACGTAAGACTATTCAAAAGTAAGAAAGAATAAAATATGTATTTTGTTATACTATATTTGAGAAAAGTTTCAATTTGGTAGCACTTAGCCAAGTCACGTCAGCGTTGAACACTGAACGCAGGTTTTACTAAAATGGATCACGCAGTAATTACAGGGGAAATGTGGGAGACGGTAGCGTCGAAGCTGTAGTAGCTGACGACACTACAATCCGAGTCCTTTTAGAGAAGCTGTTAACATGCAAAAAGGCGAAGTAGCAATAGATGCTAACTATAGCATTGAGCATATTTTCAATCCTGAACACTCTTTTCTTTAAAGCGCCCTCCTTATACTGGTAGCTCCACTTACCGTGTTAGGTATAAAACATTCAGCCAGCGGTCGGTGTGTCCACCTATCCAGATGTGTTGGAGCGCGTTGTGACCCGATCACGGTCCAGTGGGGACTCCACCTTCGGCTCCTGCCCTTTCCTATTACTAATCACTCTGCATTTGCATAAGACTCCTTGCTCCTATGAGTGGGCTGAGAGTTAAACCCCGCATGCTAACTCACTGCACGACAGGTGGGGTTCGGTAAAATCATGCTCCGGAAATAGCTGGAAAACAACGACTTTTGTGTTTTTTGCATACGGCAGGAAAGGCCGTTACGGTTGCTCTGAGGGTGAAGAGGATTTATTCAGAACGTGTAGCGGGAATGCATGCGTTATTACACCTCTGGCCACTCGTAACAGCTTTGTCTGGATGTTCTGTTTTAGACCACGTGCGCAGAGCGACGACTCCGTTTTAAAACCTTTGTCCCGCCCTCGATATTTTGTCCTCTCAGGTTCCGGGGCGGACGATGCTGTGGGAGAGGTTTCCATCCACGTGGAGATTTTTACTCATCCCAACACTGGGGAACACAAGGTCACAGTGAAAGGTAACTTTGTATTTTTTCAGAATCCAACCGTTCAACCGTTATCAATGTTTGACATACCAAAGAAGTTTGTAAATGTTAACCATTAAAAAGGTAATTGCTATGTATTTTAATTCAAATGAGGTTTTTTTCTTTTGAGAAACTGTTTTTGAAGAATTTTTCAGAATCTTATTAGTATAGTATTTTATTGACGTTCCACAAAAAGTGTATTTTTGAAGAATTGTTACCATAACAAAGGCCACTGATTTGTTCACTCACATGATTGTGTTTTCACACGTGTTCTGTCCACGATTCTCTCTCCTTTTCTTTGTTGCCTTCTCTCGCTCAGTGGTCGCTGCCAATGACCTGCGGTGGCAGACGCAGGGTATATTCCGTCCTTTTGTGGAGGTCTACATCATCGGCCCTCACCTGAGCGACAAAAAGAGGAAATACGCCACCAAGTCGAAGAACAACAGCTGGGCTCCGAAATACAACGAAACCTTCACTTTGTAAGTGGTGGACGGAGATTTGCGCCGTCGCTTTGAGACGAACGCGTACGGGCACGCACTGACCTCTCTTCTCTGCCGCAGCACTTTGAGCAACGAGGTCGGTCCCGAGTGCTACGAGCTGCAGGTCTGCGTGAAGGACTACTGCTTCGCCAGGGAGGACCGCACGGTGGGCATGGCCGTGCTGCAGCTCAAGGACGTGGCGGCAAAAGGCAGCGCCGCCTGCTGGCTTCCTCTGGGTAAACGCATTCACATGGACGAAACCGGCCTCACCGTGCTGCGTATCCTCTCCCAGCGCAACAACGACGACGTGGCCAAGGAGTTTGTCAAGCTCAAGTCAGACCAACGCTCGGCCGAGGAAGGCCGCAGCTAGGGGGCGACGGAGATTTAGAGATTAAGTCTGAGCTCTTGCTAACCACTGCCATTCTCATCACGTATTATAAGCACAGACAGAAAGGTACGGGTGGTCACAAAGCATCACTTTAATTGGATTAAAAAGCAGAATATTGTCCCGTAAAATAGTACGTATGTATCATCGGGCTTCAGTACCGCAAGTATCGTAGGACGAGGCCTAAGCGCAACATGTCCAAATCGCTCGCTAACGTTAACAACGTAACCTAGCGGGTATTAGGGCGGGGATGTAATAACGGGCTGTACCGTTATTACATATTACAGGGGAAAAAAAACAGTTTTAAAATGTAAACCCTAACCCTAACAACACAGGGATAGAATAGAGATGTGCTGTAGGCCAATAGCAGGGATTGTTAGGTGGACATGCGGTTTTGTCCTTGTCCATCTTTGCGTCCTTTAACATGAACCAGATCGTACTGCCTGACACCCTCAATGCCTTTGTGTGTCCCGTGGACCTCGGTAGGGTTCGTCTGATCAAAATACAGCGTGCGTGCGCGCAGAGCCGGTACGCACGACTTCCTTTGTAATATGTTCTAATGTTGACCTCGTGTAATCACCTGTGTTGCCCGTTAGCTGCAAATTGTCTGCGCTACTGCACACGGTGTCTTGTCTTTGCAGCCTTTAGCTGTGTGTGAATGGTAGAAGAGGGGGAGAAAAACTCACCTGTTGTTTGGCTGACGACGAACACTGAGGTAAAGACACCCGCCGTGGTCACAGGTGGAGCTGTGCGAGGGCATCGCGGCAGTTGCACCGATTGGGGTTTTTTTTTTAATGACTCCCCCTCCTGACTAGGGGACACTACTGCCAAAAGCACTTGACCACAGCTCAATAATTAACACCGACCCTGTCGTCAGAACAAGGTGTAGGAACGGAACACTATGCATTGAACCTACAGAATTAGGTAGAGTGATTTTGGAAGCAGTCGTGTAATGTTTACATTGTGGATTTGATCAGCAGCCATGTTTGTCTGAGATATTGTAAATGCTGTCGTGTCTGTCGTACTGGGCCTTAAATTCCCAGGTGTAGTGTGTTGGATCAGAGAGCCCAATTTGTTTGTACTTTTGAAAAATAAACGGAGACGAGTTGTCGTTGTAAAAAGTTTAGATTTATGAAAGACGGACCACGTAAAGTGACGGCCGCTGCTCTTTTGTACAAAGTTCTGGATCCGGTGGGCAGTTTGTTAGAACGTGCTACTAAACGCTGTCCAATGAAGTCATGTGACTGGTGTGTGTGTGTGTGTGTGTGTGTGTGTGTTGTAGGTCTTTTTCTTAGCCAAGAAAATCGCACAATCTTATACATACAAATTCAACTGCCTATATATTTAAAAAAGAAGAAATGCCACGAAAAATGTATTTGTTTATTGCCGTTGACAATGATTATTAAGTCGTTCATTCTGCGTGTTGGGAATTATTGGACAGAAGAGACGGGAACGATGGCAGAAATAGAAGAGAAGGGGCGGAGGGGTGAAGCACAAGAAAAAGCACAGACACGAAGCAGACACAACCGCACGACCCGTTTTGTCCAGTCCCGTCCCGTCCAGCTGAGCAGGCCACAGAAACGGACACTTGCGCAGCGATGCCATTTTTATTGAGAGGAACAATAAAAGAAGAAATACCGTGCCAGCACGCATTATTCAATGTTAACTGCCAACTGTTGTCTCTCTTTTGTTTGAAAGATTTGTTTTGTAATTTTCAAATGATTCCGAACATATACGAACGCATTACCGATGATGTGTAGCGGTACAAAGTGCTAGCATGACAAGATTTTTATACAGGAAATGTTTCAATTGTTTTTGTTTTTTGTAATCGTGGTTGTTCTTATCGAGCGTTAGATTGGGACCACAGTCCAGTTGTGTTTCTGCTTCCAATAAAACATACATACTGAAAAATCGACAGGTGTACAACGTATTTTTGTAATCACATGTGAATCTAAATGTGTAGTTCAACAAAAAAAAAATGTGGCAAATGACAAAAGCGGTGTCGTAGAGAGTGTGCGTTTGCCTGGTCAGATCGTTAATTGTTTTTTAAACTGAAATAGTGTTCCCTTACTTTTAAAATAATATGAAAAGAAATAAAAGGCCAAGTGATCCACAAATAAAAGTGGCCTCTCAAAGTGTGAGCGAATCGACAGAGTAAAGACTCCACAGTTACAGCATTTGAAATCTGTTTTTTTCCCTTTCCTAGGTTCTGCGTACGAAGGAGAGCTTCAGAGAGTCCGGGATGACGAGGTTCTCGGCGTGTAAGGGCACGGGAGGATTGTAAGGTAAGACCATCGGAGCGGGCTGTCCATCGGAACGGCCTTTGAGGAGCCCCTGTGGGAAAAAAAGTACCAGCGGGGATTAGAGTATTTCAAACGGATGAATAAAACCGACGTACCTGGACCAGACGGATGAAATTCAGCGAGACCTTTTCGTCGTGGTTGCTGTGGGGAGTGTAGAGGGTCAGAATCTTGACTATCTGTGCAGAAAAGAAGATGGCACACAACCTTACTGCTGACTAACCCACGTTTCACAGTCATTCTCTTGTCGAACAGGTGTCTCAAAACTCCACCTGCTGGCTGGAGAGCGCGGTGCAAGTCCGAACCAGGGCCTGAGCGCCGGCCTCATTTTTTTTCTCCGCCTGGAGAAGCTGAGCGGCCTCGATGAGAGGCTCCAGTGTGGTCACAGCGACCCCTTCCTGCAAATTGTAGCTACGCAGCCAATCTTCCAGCAGGCTTATGTTGTAGCTAAGCAACAGGAAAATAAGTGGAACACGTGGCATACAGTTTATATATCTATCTATATCTATCTATATCTATCTATATCTATCTATATCTATCTATATCTATCTATATCTATCTATATCTATCTATATCTATCTATATCTATCTATATCTATCTATATCTATCTATATCTATCTATATCTATCTATATCTATCTATATCTATCTATATCTATCTATATCTATCTATATCTATCTATATCTATCTATATCTATCTATATCTATCTATATATATATAGTGTGTCCGCGTACCGTATTTGCATTCCACGGTGCCAGGAGCAAACGTCTTTGCGCAGAAGCAGACTGTTGAGAGCGGTGGCAGAGATGAGATACGCGAGCTGGCGAAAAGCCTGTTTATTCAACGTGGCCGGCAGAGCCTGGTTGGACATGGCGACGCGAAGAGCTCCGAGCTCTTTCAACACTGACTCCACGGTGGCGGCGGAACCCGCTTGTCTCCCGGGGTCCGAGCCCGCTCGCTTTCTGGAGGCTCCCGTTTTAACCGGTGAGACAGACTGACCTGAAATGGTCTCAGACTCCAACAGGGCAGGGACTGAGGGACACAGAGAGACACGGAGGGTAGAATGCGAGATGATGAGTGAACGGTCAGCCTAGAGCAGGTACTGCACAGTGACGCCGTGTCTTTTCAAGTACTTATAATGTTCTGCATTTTTTTCTCAGCGATGGACAGAAGCTGCTGGTAGGCCTGGATGCAAAGGTCACTCAGGATGCGGATGCTGTTGCTGTGGTCAGTGGTCAGAGGAACCACACCGTCCGGGTCAGAGGCCTGAGGAGCGATAATGAATTCATGCAGCTTCACGTACCATCAATCCATCGCGTCGTCGCTCGTTACAGGAAATTAATGATAATCAATGATTGTCTTGCCTGTTTCACGGAGCGCTGGATCAACTGGTCACGCAGCACACAGGCGTTTTTCAGCCACAGAGCCGTCACGTCTAAGTTGTTGGTGGATTTCTGCAGCAACGGAGAAAGAAAATGACATTTTTTCACTACACAGACTCGGTGAGATAAAAACAACGGCGTAAAATTCCCCAGAATATACCGCAAGAATTCGAGTACCATATTTTCCAGGCAACAGGTTGAACTTTTGTTTGCATCTTTTGGCTGGGTTTGCGACGTATACATTAAAATATGTCATTTCACGTTTGTTATTTTCACAGGGATAGCCGCTAGAGGGCACTCTTATACTCCGGAGCAAGCGATATTCCGGAAAATACGGTACATGTTTTTGAACAATTTGAAAGGACAACAGTCGCACGGATTCCGGCTGTATTGTTGGAATGCACCGTACGGTGCGAGGGCCACGGTTACCTTCAGAGCCGTTTTCATCGCAGACATGGCAGAGCAACTGAGCCTGACTTCGGTCCTCGATGCCGTCGGCGTAGCGGACACACAGGAAAATCACACCGGCGGGCAAACCGGGAGGCAGAGCCAGGGCGCAGTCAATGCGGATTTCTGGAGCACAGACGGAGACGACAGCGACGGCAGTTGGTTAAAAACGTGCAAACGCGAGCGGGCGGACGAGGTGTAGTTATTCCTTCAGAAATGAATCGGAGACATTTGGTCTCACCTGTGATCAGGTTTTTGATGAGTTTACTGTCGTCCTTATTTCTACATTCCAACAGACCGGGAACCGAGGGCGGCTTCGGACGGGACAAGGACCAGGACGAGGGCGAGGTCAAGGACGAAGTGTCCGGACTGGAAGCTGACACAAGACAACGTAAACACAGATGGAGAGAATAAGTATTTCCTTTCCTCTTTTCTGCTTTGCTATTTGTTGAGAAATAAGAGGCAGAAATGTGAGGTTGAAAGATCTTCATGTTTACATAACAGCAGTACAGTAGGTGGTGCTTGTGCCCTCCTGACATTGGGATTAAAAGTAGGGATGTCTGACATAAACATTTCATTCATTTCCGATTCCGACATTAAACAATTGCAACGGAGCGTGGTGGCGGTGGCCCATCGCTAAGGTGATGGGTTAAAGCCGTGCCCCTCCACCCGCCACAGAGAAAAACCGATAACGATTCTTACAAATGTTACGTAATTTTGCTAGTATCGCCGATATTATCCCTAGTTTAAACCTTACCTTGAGGGAGGACACGTCTGAGTGTCACGGTGCTCCTGAGCTCCTTCAGCTCCGTCCTCAGTCGGACACAGTCCCGAGTTCCAGCAGCTCCTTTGACATAGAAAGATGCTTTATATGTCAGAAGTACCATCAGGCCTAGTGAATTTTGCTAGGAAAACAGAGAACTCAGTTACGTGGCACCACAGAGCTTAAATTTAAAGTGTTTAAAGTGTTAAAGAGTTTTCTTTAGATTATGAAGTAGTTATCGTGCGATTGACATTTTACACGTGGTTCAGCGTGAGCTCGGCCGTTTCAAAGACATCGGCAATCGGAGCGCACCTGACCGCGCGGGACCGAAGAGGCGGAGGCGGCCCACGTCAGCCGACGCCTCAGGGCCTCCGTGTCGTCGTCCCACTGGCTGCGCTGGTTACGCAACTGACTCTCCAGAAACCTGGAGAAAAGCACGAAAGGGTTCGTCCTAACAGCGTTTATGGAGCGGTGATGTGAAAGGAGAGGTGCAACACTGACTTGTTGGCCACTCGTACGGCGTCGTAGGCGTGGGCCAGGTCTTCTTCTCTCATCTTCACCGCTGGCTCTTTGGCCACATCCATTTTCTCCATCAACCGGTTCTGTCGTCGGAGTGGGTTACAGGGTTACACACAGAGCCGTAACAGGTTAACAGGCAAGTTAATATGATGATATTGTTGAAATGTAAAGAATTAAAATAGAAATAGAAATAAGTAATAATTAATATAATATGAATACATTAATGTAACAGGAACAGCTCAAGCATTAGTCAATATTCACTTTTACAGTGTTCTGAGTAGTTTGTAACATTATGTAATGTTTTGTTAGTTATAAATGCAATGTTTTTGTAATATGTATACGTGTATTTTAAGTCTTTACGTATTGAACAGTTGTATTAGGTTTCTCGCGATGTTGGGTAAAAACAAAGCATTTCAATCTATTTTTCCATAGCTTTAATGACGGTTTTATCCCAACAGCTCGATCTGTGTCGGACGTGCACGCGGAGGCGGTGACCTATAACATCCCCCTACCATCGGAATTTCTAAACCCCACGAGATGCTCCTCTCCGGCCGAGGAGAGGTCACGGAGACCCTGCGGACCCGCTCCGGGGTAGCGACGGCGGATCGGAACGGCGGCGGTGAGAGCGAGGTCGGCGAGGGAGAGGGAGGCTCCGAGCTCGGGCTCCGGGCAGAGTCGGTTCTCCCGCGGCCTTTGGAGTTCTGCGGAGATGCGGAGAAACTTACTCTCGGTCGCAGAGAAAGGGTTTTGGAGCGGAGGAGTTGTGGCCGACCTCTGTGAGCAGACTCACAGAGGTCAACCTCAGAGGTTGTCGTATCTCTGCTCCAGTCTGGTGAAGTCCCTCAGGAGTCCCTGGTACTTTCGCCTCTCTTCGTCTAACTCTGCCCTCAGAGCGGCAGACGCCCGAGACACGGCCCGATTTACGTTCTCTGCACACGGAGGAGATGGGGGAAGAAGTAATCAAGCAGAGCCCCGGCCGCATTGACCGCAAAGCGAGAACTTACCTTCTCGTGCGTTTTCTAGCGCAACCGATCGAGCAGAAAGTTCTTGGTTTTCTTCTTGCAAACGTTCTTTTTCCATCTTCTGAGACTGCAACTCCTTAGAATGGAAAATATCCTCAATGAAACAAAATTGTGTAATAGTTTAAAAACAAAAACAGAAAAAAGCTGCCTCCCGGGCAGCCTTTTCCTCCGCTCTCCTCCGTTTCTCCTCTTCTTTCTCACCGATATCCAAGCGGGGCTGAGGTGTCTTCTCTCTCTGGGTTTCCAGTTTGTGTATCTTTACCCTCAGAGACTACAGTTCAGCACTGACGGCCTTTCTCTCTGCGTGCAAAGTCTCTGTCAGAGCAGCGTTTTTCCCGGTCTGCACACAAACACAGGTTAAGGTTAACCCTCAACCTTTACGGACCCTGTCGCGCCATCACGTCTCTCCCTCCGTCCCTCCCTCCCTTCCTCCCTCTCTCACCTCCTGGTCAACTCGTAACTGCAGCTGCATCAGCTTGACTTCCATTCCCTTGTTGAGCTCTCTGTAGCGGTCCGCCGATCGGGCCTCCGTCTTCAGTTTCAGCAGCTCTCTCTTGGCGGCCTTGCGACGCACGCAGCACTGCGCGAAGACCACGGCAGCACAAAGTCTTCCGTACGCCCGCCTCGCCGACCACCCGCGCACCCTCGCCTGGAGCAGCACCGCAGCTCTCTCGGTCACGAGCTGACGGTAAAAGGAAGGGTTTTAGTAGACGTTACGGATCAAAGGCGTGCGGGGGAAAATAAGAGAAGGAAGGTCCGGGGCACCCGTCTGTATCCGCGGCGTGTCAGCGCGCCCCTGGTGAAGGCCTGGATGGTGACGGGGGCCCGGCGTATTACGAGGAACAATCGTCTGACGGACAGCATGCGGTACGTTTTCTGGATGACGACGGCAGCCTCGGTGTAACGCAGCGTCAGAGCAAGTGTGCAAGCAAATGCGCAACTGGAAAACGTATCGAATGAACTTTGTGAAGAGTACTGACCAAATGTTATGGCTACCTACCGTCTGGCCAGAGTCCCTCTGGTGTATTTCTGTACGGTGACGACCGCCCCGAGGACTGGTACTGGACAGCCATCCTCTGACCCTGCTCTGGACGGTCACGGCGGCGCCGCGGAGCTTCTCAGCCTTTCCAGGATGGCCACCTGACCGGCTTGGAAAAACACTTTGGTTTTCCCGAAGCGGTACTGCTCCCGGTCTGGGATGAGGTCGGGTAGATTGTGTCGGCAAGACGTCCGGGCCCCTTTCGCGGCAGAAGGCCCGCGTAGAACAACGCGGTATCTGACGAAGAACTCCTCGTACGTCCACCTGGGAAGGGGAAAATAACTACTTTTGTGTTCTGTTACAGCCAATTCTACAGAAAGTGCGAGACAGTTTTACAGGGCAGCAGATGGGGTCAGGCAGTGTACGTAACACCGAGTGGCGTATTAATAAAAAGGAGTTGTTAGTAATCAATTTAAAGTTGGTAAAGACCCAACCTCCTCTGGTTTTATACCAAAAAGTAATTGAATGAAGTGACAATGCAGTTGATTTCCTTAATGATGTAGTCATAGTTTATTTTCACATAGTGAGGCTTTAATGCAGTTTAATGAAGATGTAGCGAAGCGGTTACGGGGCCTGCCTTACACATCTTCTTTTCACACAGAATGTGAATCTCGGGTTTGAGGCCCGGAGGACACACGTACGTAACGGCGCCTCTGTCGGCAGCCTGCGGGGGTTGCGTGACTTACACTGTGAATTTGCCCGTTGTGGGTCAAAGAAGGGAGTCGTGTGTTATATGTATGCCACATTATATGTTTTTGTATACAGCTCAATACCTGGACGGGTAACCCGCAGCGCTGATACGCTGGAGACTATTCGCTGATACGAATAGTCTCCAGCACGCCGCAGGCTCTCAGCTGTTGGACTATTCTCTTGGGGTCAAATCTGAGGGAGGAAAGGAGGGAGGGGGAGAAGATGATTCCCACTGAGTAAGTTAGAGTGACACGTGGCTGCCGGTGAAACGATGAGTCACAAGAAGGCCTCCTTGAGGTCGTTGGGTTTAATACAGCGGACGTAGTGCGGAGCGGTGCCGTCGAGGGTGTCCATCAGCAACTGTAGGGACTGACGGAACTGAAGAGCACAAGCACAAAGAACAGTCTGTAAACCGTCGAGCGAGTAAAACGCGTAGACCGTAGCGGCTCACCTGGAAACCCACGGTCAGTCTGTGTTTCCCGGTGGCTCGTTTTCCCGAGCGAACACTGCCGTCGGCCACGGCGGCGACATCGTTCTCCCGTGGCTGAAACAGCTCGGCCGCTAGGTCCGACTGAGACACACGCACACGGAGGTTGTCGATTACGGCGGCTCTCCAGACACGAGGGCGGTCGCAATGCACTTCACGTACTGTACCTGACTGGCTTTCAGAATGTTGATGAGCTCTTCGAAGACCGTGTCGCGGTTTTTGTCTAAGAAGCCTTCGCATTCGTACCGGACCTGAACAGATAGAATAAACGTGTCCTTCTAAACGGGCGATTCCCAACCGCTGCGCCGTACATGTTTTGAAATGAATGTTGCACCTTTTGTCGACGCGTGGCAGGCAGAACAATTAAGTACGATCTTAAATGAGATCTTTTTGAGTGTATTTCTTCAATTCCTGCGAGTACATCAGCGGCGCGTTCAACGGAACAGGCCGAGAGGTTAGAGAATTGCGAGTGTATTCAAAGTAGATATGTCATTACGTATAGTTCTTGTCACTTTTAATGCAGAACATACGTGACACGGCGCAGAAGCAGTTGGGAAACACTGCCACAGGTAACAGTCACAAATCTGCATTTGGGGAGGAAACAGGAACTCACCGTATCGGCAAAGTGAAGAACGACGAAAGCGGTGTTTGACATGCGAGGTTTCCGAAAGTAGGGGCACGCTCGGTCGCGGAGGTGTCGGTCGTACAATTTCTGCACCCAGCTCTCGTCCGAGCCATTGGGCATCTGGTCGTATGCAGATATTGGCAGCACAGTGTGTGAAATTGTGTTAAAGAGGAGTCGGTGATGACATGCTGTTGTTTTGTAATAAAAATGAGACAAACGGACCCTGCATTCTTCATCCAACAGATCCAACAGTCCCAGTCGGCCTTCTATGAGGTCGATACACGGCAGGTTGTCGCTAAAGCGAATCCTGCTCCAGGGCAGTTCCTCTCGGATGTACTCCTCCTGCTTCAGGTGGAACACGTGCTGAAGAGAAACAGAAAGGGGTGAGCTTTAAAACGAAAATGTGGGTTTGTACATGTCATTGTCATTGTAGATGCGGTCGCCTTTGTAATGTTATTGTAAAGCCGTTGGGCTTTGTAATGTCGTCGTGAGTTTGCTCGCCTTTGCGGTAAACTTGGGGGTGGGGGGGCTAGTGGACCGACCCGACTCCGCGGTTGCCAGATGTTGTTAGCCACAGGATGGGTTAAGGTTTGTCGTAGCATAAAAGTGAAGGAGATTTGCAGTTGGACAGTTTGTCCCCTCTTGTCATGTGTTGGCAGATGTTGGAGCGGAAGTCGTGAAGCGTGACACGTGTGCACGGGTTTGTCCTTGTGCGGTACGTGAAGGTGTGATCCATTCTTTTTCTCTCTGTCTCTTTCTCTGTCTCTGTTTCTTTTTTCTCTGTTTCTCTCTCTGTCTCTGTTTCTTTTTCTCTCTGTCTTAGTTTTTCTTTCTGTGTCTCTGTTTCTTGTTCTCTCTGTCTCTCTCTCTGTCTCAGTTTCTCTCTCTCTGTTTCTTTTTCTCTCTGTCTTAGTTTTTCTTTCTGTGTCTCTGTTTCTTGTTCTCTCTGTCTCTCTCTCTGTCTCAGTTTCTCTCTCTCTGTTTCTTTTTCTCTCTGTCTTAGTTTTTCTTTCTGTGTCTCTGTTTCTTGTTCTCTCTGTCTCTCTCTCTGTCTCAGTTTCTCTCTCTCTGTTTCTTTTTCTCTCTGTCTTAGTTTTTCTTTCTGTGTCTCTGTTTCTTGTTCTCTCTGTCTCTCTCTCTGTCTCAGTTTCTCTCTCTCTGTTTCTTTTTCTCTCTGTCTTAGTTTTTCTTTCTGTGTCTCTGTTTCTTGTTCTCTCTGTCTCTCTCTCTGTCTCAGTTTCTCTCTCTCTGTTTCTTTTTCTCTCTGTCTTAGTTTTTCTTTCTGTGTCTCTGTTTCTTGTTCTCTCTGTCTCTCTCTCTGTCTCAGTTTCTCTCTCTCTGTTTCTTTTTCTCTCTGTCTTAGTTTTTCTTTCTGTGTCTCTGTTTCTTGTTCTCTCTGTCTCTCTCTCTGTCTCAGTTTCTCTCTCTCTGTTTCTTTTTCTCTCTGTCTTAGTTTTTCTTTCTGTGTCTCTGTTTCTTGTTCTCTCTGTCTCTCTCTCTGTCTCAGTTTCTCTCTCTCTGTTTCTTTTTCTCTCTGTCTTAGTTTTTCTTTCTGTGTCTCTGTTTCTTGTTCTCTCTGTCTCTCTCTCTGTCTCAGTTTCTCTCTCTCTGTTTCTTTTTCTCTCTGTCTTAGTTTTTCTTTCTGTGTCTCTGTTTCTTGTTCTCTCTGTCTCTCTCTCTGTCTCAGTTTCTCTCTCTCTGTTTCTTTTTCTCTCTGTCTTAGTTTTTCTTTCTGTGTCTCTGTTTCTTGTTCTCTCTGTCTCTCTCTCTGTCTCAGTTTCTCTCTCTCTGTTTCTTTTTCTCTCTGTCTTAGTTTTTCTTTCTGTGTCTCTGTTTCTTGTTCTCTCTGTCTCTCTCTCTGTCTCAGTTTCTCTCTCTCTGTTTCTTTTTCTCTCTGTCTTAGTTTTTCTTTCTGTGTCTCTGTTTCTTGTTCTCTCTGTCTCTCTCTCTGTCGTCGAAACGTCGAAACTGACCCGTAACACCATAGATGTTACTAGAGTTAATAATATTAAAATTAAAAAATAGATAAAACAAATTTATTTAAGAGATGTGTTGTCATAGTGCTTAGTAATAGTCAGGTAACACAACAACCTTTTATTTATTAATATGATTCTGTTGTGGTTCATTGTACCATTTTTTTTATTGAAATCGAGGGGTATACTGACAAAAAAAAGGACCAGAGGACCACACCAAAAATATTAAAACCAATATTTTCATGGATATGGAAGCCTACAAGGGAACCAAGAGATGAGAAACAAATTGGATGATAGGTAATTGTTTTTAGTGTATTTTTAGTGTTAACATAAGAGATGGTAAGAGAAAGCGAACACAAGAGGAAGGTTAAATGAGATCTTTTTTGAGTGTATTTCTTCAATTCCTGCGAGGACATGAGCGGCGCGGTCAACCGAACAGGCCGAGAGGTTAGAGAATTGCGAGTGTATTCAAAGTAGATATGTCATTACGTATAGTTCTTGTCGCACTCTTGTGTTTGGAGAAAGTCGGACGAAAAGAAAAGTCCACTGCGGAGCGGGTGCCTTAAAGCGGGGTCGGTCGTTTGGGCGTTGGACGGGGTCTCGTCCTTTGTTTTAAAAATAAGGGTCATTTGTGCCGTAGTGTTTAGACGACGTGAAAACGACGATTCTTCGCAGTATGAGCTATTCAAAGTGCATTCGGACACAATGTCACGCACGTAGGAATTTGAAACGCTTTGACTGTCAAACCTATGCGTTGAGTAAAGGTCAGATAAAGTATTAAGCAGTACAAGGAACTAACGGTCCGTTGGCGACGCAAACTGGGCGACGTACGCGCGCGTAGTTAAGTGGGGTCGAAAAAAGTTAGGTAGGAAAAAGCTACAGAACCGCGCCGGCGTGTGGCGTCTGTCGCTAGGCAACCGTCTTTGAATATGTCCGGTAAAAGCGGTAGTCCCCAGCGTGTTGGAAAGCGAAAAGGATTGCAACGGTGCACACGTCAGCGGGAAGACGAGAAGAAAAGTTAGAGGAGACGATTACAAGGGCAGGGTGAGCCGATCAAATCATTTGTTTACTCGCGCGGCCACCGGAAGAGACAGCGATGACGGGATGTGTGGCAGCAAAGAAGAAGGAAAGTAGAAGAGGGGAAAAGTTCCATGCGCAGGTCGCGGGGGCAGCAGTCGCCACCCAAATCACATTGAATTCCTGCGTGTGGTGAGCACGCTGGAAGGTACCAATCGCCGTAACCAGGGTTCGAACTCGCCCAGGAGGTGAAATCTGGGGTTCCACACCAATGACATAGACATTGCCTCTGGGCCAAAGCGCCGCAGGGGAAAAGGTGTTTGAAAAATAATAAAGGAAACCGTTGAGAGAAGACGTGATGTTGTGCATGTTGTTGCTGTTGGATGTTGAATAAGCAGATCAAATGACAGGTGTTTGTTGTTGTGCGAAGAGAGTGCCCGTAGGTGTGCACATACGTTACATGTCGTTACATAAACGCATCTATTTTTATGTATGTAATTATTTAAAAAGATAAGGGAAAGTCCGTGTTCAATTTGGGACAAAGAAACGGTAGAGGGGGAAAATAAGGAAAAACAAAACGGTCGCGGCGCGTGACGTCTGACCCCGGAAATGGTCGCGGCGCGTGACGTCGGACCCCGGAAATGGTCGCCGGTCGGCATAAAAGCCGCCGGTGTAGGACATTCTGTCAGTTGGTCTGTGGGCCAGGTCGGAGAGGTAAGTTCGGTGGTCCTTCACGCAGTTGGC